ACCTGAGTGTTCTTCATTGACCACCCCTCCCTCCACAGGCTGGGCCTGTGATGCTTAACTGTCCTGCTCCTTGCATCTTCACAGTCACTCTTCAGGGGAAGCAGTAATGATCTTAGAGAGGAGTTGAGGTCTTAGGGTTCAGAAATTTGCCTTGGTCACAGTTCACAATGGTAGAGGTGGTACTTGAATAGGAACATGGGCTCTGGACCAGGGTATGGCACATGCCCAGAGGAAGCTTGCCTCTGTCCTGCCTGCCCTGCTGAGTTGAGCCTCTTACCACATCCATTAGTGTGAACTCCCCTTTTGGTGGGGTCACGGGTGAAGGTCAGGAAAGCTCTACTGATGGAACTGGGGCTGAGCCTGGCTTCAAGTTCAAAGTTTGTGATAGAATCATCTTCAGCTCTAGAGCAGGTCCTGAGATGGCTAAAACTCTAGAGATGGCATTGAAGCTGGCACAGGAGCTGGCTCTTGCTCTAGAGCAAGGGCTGGGGCTCATCCTACTTCTGAAGCTAGTATAAGAGCTGGCTCTTGCTCTGCAGTAGGTTTTAAAGCTAGCACTGAGGCTGGTGATAGAGCTGCAGGGGAAAAGAATTCCAACATGACTGCCTTTCTCTGAGTCTTTTCAAAGACAGAGAACACTTTGCCTGCCAGAGAAGCCAACCCCACAACTGCATGTTTTCCTAGACTGTGGTCCGTGCATGATGGGTCTGAGGCTTGTCTTTGTTCCTAGCCTAACGCCCAGCCTGTTCCTGGTGGGGCCCAGCACAGGTCCCTCCTCACATGCTCTCATGTACCTACTCCAAGAGGTCTCTTTTCCCTCAGTCTTGGTCTTGGTCTGCTCTATGTCCTCCAGCAGAGAAGGTCAACACAGCACTCCGGGTCCAAGACAGGCACATGGAGCTATACATAAGCCTTCAGCTTCTTGAGGGAGGGGAAGTGTAGATTGCCAGAAATCCTCTGAATATTGGTCTATCAAGGTCCCCAGGATGGAAGAGATGGAGCTGGGGCAGGCAGGCTGGCAAAAGAGTCAGAGGCCTGAACTCCATGGCCTCTTGTGGTATCTGGGGCTAGGCTCTTGTATTCCTCTGTCCATCCAGAGGGCAGCCAATGCCCAGCCCAAGCCCCTTTGGCTGTCCAGGCAGTGGCAGGCCAAGTAACCAGGCAAGGGTGTGAGAGAACCCATTGGAAGGAGCCCTAGGTCAACTGTGGGGCCAGCTCTCCTCTTGTTTGGGAAAGCCTGATATATTCCTGTCTGGTTCTTGGGCCCCCAGCCCACTGGAACGTAAACTCCACAAGTGCTTGTACTTCTACCTGGCACTCACATGGCCCTGGTGACATCTCGTCCCATGGCTTGTGCTGCCAGGACGCCTGGTTTTCTGAGACATGTGTAGGTCTTATATTCCCATTGACACTTCTGAAGAGCACACCTGACCCTACACTCACTGAGTTCCCTGGGAACCAGCTGAGTTCCCACTACCAAGAAGAGAGGCCAGGTGTAAACAGGCACTTCCCATACCACCTCTTTGTCATGTCAAGGTGTGAGGTGGGCATGCTTGGCTGTGGCGTGGTGGGTACAGATCCTCATAGAAGTTGCTGTGAGCCCTAGCCTACCCTCTGCTTCCCACATGCCTATGACCCACTACTCTCAGGCTTCCTACTGTAGTGCAAGGCAGACCTCAGCACTCTAGCAGGATTATACTCATGGGATCCAGTGTTTTCCCAGCCTTCCTCAGCCACTCCACACTCCCAATCCCATTTTAGATACAGGAGCCTTTCCTCTTGATCACCCAATTTTTTTTTTTTTTTTTTTTTGGTACTGGGGATCGAACTCGGGACCTTGTGCTTGTGAGACAGGCTCTGGAACTACTGAGCTAAATCCCCGGCCCAATCACCCAATTTTTAAGTTGGTCCTGTGGCTCTTGCTGAAATAGCGAAGGATGTAGCCATATCCAAAGGCCACGAGGGTGTCACATGTCACATCTACCTTACCCACTTATGATATCTAGAGTTACTGTTGGACCCCTCAGCCAGTACTGAGGTAATGGAAGGGGGCACAGGAGGCCAATTTTCCTGCCCTTTTCACTGAATCATGCTTGGAAGCATTCCTGCACATAGTACTGTTTCACATATGTTCATGGAATGAATGATCCCAACCAGCTCTTTCTCAGGTATCTCAGTGAATTGGGGCCTCTCAGTTTGCCTACCCCAGGATGAGGACATCCTAGATATAACCCAGAATTTGCCTTACAAATGGGGAAACTGCTTTGCGCAAGACCTTAGATAAGTAAAGCCCAAGGCAGAAAGCTTTGCATGGAGAGTGGGGAAGTGAAAGTCACACATAAGAAACCTACAGTCATTATCAGCCCACTGGGCAAGGTCAAGCCCAGGGTAGGTACTTCTAGGACTCATCCTATTTAATCCTGATAATTCCTTATTGGGGGGGTACTTTGAGCATCCCAGTTTCCATAAATTGGAGCTCAGAGAGGTGAAGGGCTAGTTTCTTCTGGCCTTGGGTGTGGAGGACATACCTTTTGAACAGGAGGTTCACCGCTTGCTGTGTGACCACAAATCTTTGGTAGTTTTGCAAGAAGGTGGGGATGAGGAAGAGGTCCTCACCCTACAGGACAGGCACTATGTGGTTCATCATCTACTCCAGCGTACCTGCCTTGAGAATCCTTGCCCCAAAGGGCTTGTGTCCAGTCCATGTCCACTCGATTTCTCCCTGGGGTGGGATCAAGAAGGCAAGATTCAAACATGGACATAGTAAACTGCAAAATGACTCATTACTATACATTGAAGTAAAAACAGCATGGAAAGAATTTTCCTACACACACACACACACACACACACACACACACACAACCCCACCCATCCATGGGGAGTGGATGGGACAGAGCTGTCTGTGAAGGACCAGAGTGGTGGGCAGGCCTGCACTGACTTTCTTGGGCTGCCTTTTGAATTCCTTGGTAAAATCGCCAGAGGTGTAAGGGATGAAAGTTGACTCAAGATTCTCCAGACATGAATGAGACCCCACTCCACACTTTCCTGAGCCCTGAGCCTTGGCAAGCCTGGAGACAAGAGAACATTCTGCTTTCTCCAGGACCTCTGAAAATGTGAGCTATTTATACAAGTCCTCCCAAAGGTCCCCTGGGCTACTGACTCCCTCCTCCCATGTCATGTGCATAACTTGACACAGTACACCAATATATCCTACTCAACTGTTCTCTGGCAGGCCTGGGTGCAGTCAATACTCAGGTTGGGGGAATTACAGGTGAGTTCAGACCAACACTCTCTTTCCTGTGACTGCTGGACAAGTCATTGTGCCTCTCAGAGCCTCCTTACTTGGTCCCAGGGGATCATTCTAGTGAAAGGGAATTTCTAGACAGATGGATATATTTCTAACAAAAAATAATTAAATTGGACAACTATGAGTTAACTGTGTTATTAAACAACTACGGGTTAACTAGGTAACTATGCCCTTTGTAAAATGTACTTGAGTAGCCATGATAACTTCTGTAATTTGTCACCACAGGAGCCTAATGAACTCAAACAGCCCTGCTAGAACTCTTAGTGACGGCCCCTCTTCCCCAGCTCTGCTTTGTGTAAACTCTGCTTCTGTACCTCCTGCTTGGAACCTTATAAAACTGCTGGCGCACCAATATTCTGGGCCTGACTTCTTTGGGAGTGATCCCAGTCAGGTCCGTGGACATAATAAAAGTGGACATACACTGCCTCCTACCTCCCTGGGTGTCTTCCTTTCCTGGATTCAGTTTGCTACAACACTAGCACCTCCTTCCTATGATGTCATCAGGTGTACACGTCCATAAATATATGTATTCCCTGTTAAACCGAATTGGTGTCACCTGTTGCTAAAACACAAACTTAAGAGATGGGACAATCAGAAGGGGAGGGATGAAGAATGTACAACTCAACCCACATCTGGGATCCCACAGAGGGATTTAAGTGAAAAATCACTGCCCCTCTTGGCCATGTTTGCCACTCTGCACCATGAAAAGCTTGAAATGACTGAGATTCAGGGATCCTTTTCCTCCAGTAACTTTCCAATGGCTTCCCATGGGATTTAGAATCAGCTGAAGTGATTCCTTTTGGCCTATGGGATGGGTGCCTGCCAAGGGCTCCTAGAGACCACAGCCATAATGCAAGCAATTAGAACAGCTGGTTTGTTGTAAACTTTAATCTGTAAAAAGCCAGACTTTGCTTGGTATGGTGGTACAAGGCTACAGTCTCAGCTACTCTAGAAACTGGGGATGCTGAAGCCTGAGGATCTGTTGATCTTTCTAGGTGGCTAGACTTTGTCCTCATGAGTGGCCATCTTTATTTTGGATAGAATAAACTTTGTTCTGATATTCAGTGTGCCTCCACGTGCCCTTTAGAACGACAAATACAAGGAAATACTGCAACTAAAAGCCTATTTTTTATTCTTTATTTCTTTTTTTTTCTAAGTGCCTTTAGAAGTAATGTGGAGTCATGCCTACAAATGAGGAAACACAAGGACACACAAGACCCCAATTCTTTCTTTTTTTTTTTTTGGTACTGAGGATCGAACTCGGGTCCTTGCACTTTTGAAACAGGCGGCGTAACCACTGAGCTAAACCCCCGGCCCTAGACCCCAATTCTTATACAATTCTCTAAACATGCGTTGTAAAAATTTTTCCCAAGTGATGATGATAATGAGATTAAACTACTGCACTTGCCCCAAAGTTCTCTTTATTTCACCCTTGTTAGTATCATAAAATTTGGAAACACACAAAAATGGAGAATCAGAAACTATACTTTTATCTCACTATTTATTTTTAAATTGACAGTCACTAAAAAAGAGGTATCAAAAAGGTAAAGAGCTCTCGCAGAATTCTGCCTTTTGTACAGAAACACCCACAACCAGGCAGCCTGCACGTGCCTTCAGCAAAGTCTCCCTCAACTGCACCTGGTGAAGGAAACCCCACAGGCCCCAGCCCCGCCTCCAGAAGTGACGCATCACGTTCTGCGCCGAGGCCGGAAGTGACGCAAACCGGCGCCGCCAGTGCCTGCTGTAGGTACCGCTGGACCGTTTTCTGTTACTCTGGACAAGGCGGGCTTTCCTTGCATGGTTGCAACAGGGGGATCATGACGGGGAAGAAATCTTCCCGGGAGAAGCGGCGCAAACGCAGCGGTCAGGAGGCAGCCGCTCCTCTCGCGGCCCCGGACCTGGTACCTGCCCTCGCCAGTAGCGGCAGTGGAAGCACTAGCGGCTGCGGGAGCGCCAGCGGCTGCGGGAGCGTGAGCTGCTGCGGGAACGCCAGCTTCAGTGGCAGTGTCACGGGCGGCGGGAGCAACGTGGAGCGCGGCGAGCGCCGGAAGCGCAGGAGCACCGACTCGTCTTCCAGCGTCTCGGGCTCTCTGCAGCAGGTGCGTGCGCTCCCCTCTTGTGCTTCCCGGAGCTGCTGCTTTTTTCTGAAGAAGGCGGGCTACAAGGCTTGATGGGGCCGGAGCTCTTTGTTAGCGCGAGATCTCTAGGATTCACTCTTTCCTAAGGTTCAAGTACCTGAGTCCGGGTGAGCCACCCTCCCATGTCTTGAACTTCCACATTTTTGAGTTAACTGATAAGATTACTTTCTTTGGTTGTTAAACTTTCGGTCCCTTCCACTCGTGGTCTCCCCAGTCTTTCCAAAGAGTATGTGTGGGTCGGAAGCTAGACCTTAGTGTCCTTTTGAGCTTTATTTTCTCTTCACCTTTTAGATTATGATTAACTTCCATCACATATGAGAACATTGAAGCCCCAAGAAGTTTTACCTCCAGCTGCAAGATTTTGTCCATATCTTCTATACCTGAGTCTACAGAAGTTGTATTCTTTATGCGCCGTTGATGTCATGATACCACCATTTAAAAATAGTTTATAGTTTAATGTAATTCATAGAAATACAGGCAAAAATGTGTAAGTCCCTTTTCGTGCCTCCACGTTAATAGTAGTTCAAGTGCAGCCTCTTTTCATTGTCCTTTGTTATGTATGTGTATTTAGTTTCTGACACATAAGCTTTATTTTGATTTTCCCTCTATTCAATTGGATTCCACTGCGTTGGGATAGTTTTATATATATATATCTATATATATATAGATAGATATAGATATATATAGATATGTAACGTTATTTTTAGTAATTGCCTAATACTATCAAGTATATTTCAAATACGACTTTACCAATTTATAGTCCAAACAGTATACCAGGATACCCATTTGATATCCATTAAAATTTGATATCCATTTTTAAGGATTTGTCAGACTAATGAGTCTGACATTAATGAGTCTACTCTTACTAATAGCATTTGTTTTAGTTCGTATTTTACTGATAACGCGATTGAACACTTCCATTTTTATTTGCTATTTGATTTCTTCCAGGGATTTGTATGCATCCTTTGCCCATTTTTTTTTCTTTCTTTTTTTAAAGTTATTCACTGGGAAGTTACACATCTTTGCCTGAAGTCTTGGTTTTAAACCTTTGTGTAGAGTGTATCGCAAACGTTATTATAATTTTGTTCAGGGTGTACGGAAGCCCTTGATTTCTTTGTATTCCAAACTAATATTTTCCTTTGCCTCCTAGATATTTCCTGTTGTTTAGAAAGATCGTTCCTATTCCAAGATTATAAAACTACTGTACTTTGTTTTTTTCTAATAGTTTCTAACACTACATCTTTAAATTGGGAATTGTAGAAACATGGAAAGTCATTTATTTTTATGATTTTCTTTTATATAGCCACACTATTAGTTTGAAATTGATTCTCGGAAGAATTTCTTCTGGTGTAATATTGACCTGTAGGAGAGACAGTAGGCATTCTTTTCCCAAGTTTTAAAAATGGGAACATTTATAATGTTCAATCAATAAGTATATTTGTTATAGGTTTTGAAAGATAACTTAGGCCAGGGTAGGGAAATTTTCTTCAGCTAGCTCACTAGAGGTTATATGTCAATTGTCTTTGTAGTCTTAAGATATATTGTATTTGGTTTGTTGACTTATTTTGTTGTATGCAGTTGGAATTGAGTAATATTCCTAAATTATATCAACCTATAGTTTGTGTTATGGATTTAGGAAGCTTTATTATCTTTGTTGTTGCTGTGTTTGAGAATAGTTTATAATCTTCTCAAATATTTGTCAGAACTTTACCGTTGAACCATACAGCTATATGAGTATTGTGTCGTTTTATGGGATTAGATTTTTTTAACCCTTACTTAAAAAAATTCCGCAGTAGTTATACAACTGTTCAGTTTGCCTATCCCTGTCTAGATTCAATTTTGGGTATCACTAAAATTTCTTTATCTTTAGTACTCTTTATCATGATGAGATCAACAGTGTTAAGTGTTATAAACATTTACAGATAGAACTAAGTCCAATTTGTAATGAGAAGTAAGTGTATTTGTAAAGGAAAAAGTCCTTGCATATTAGGATGTAGGTAACACCTCAAAATTTGGAGAGTGCAGTTATATCTGTTGTGTATTGAATTTTTTTTAGTAAGAGCTAGTTTTGTCTGTTTTTATTTTTAAAAATTATTTTTGGTACCGGGGATTGAATTCGGGTCTTTGCGCTTGCGCAGCAGGGGGCGAAACCACTGAGCTAAATCCCCGGCCCTCAGTTTTTAAAAATAAATAAATTACTTTGTTCAGTTTTTTGAGTCAGAGTCTCACTGTGTAGTTCAGGCTGGTCTTGAACTCACTGTGCAGTCCAGGCTGGCCTCAAACTCATGGCAGTCCTCCTGCTTCAACCTCCCAACTCCTGGGATCACAGATAGGCACCACCACACTTTGTTACCTTTCACTTTTTTAATTGTCCTGTTTTAAAGCTGCCTTTTCAGCAGTTCCATTAGAGGACATAACAGAAATTTACCTAACCTGTATGATCAGGGAAGCTTTTCCCAAGGAAATGACTTGAATTGCTATCTGACAAGTGTTAGAATTAATCTTCTTAGTATAGTATGGTGTAAGGGAAGAGGAGGGGAAAGATTGCCATAGGCAGGAGAATAGTATGTGTAAGAGCCCTGCTTGTATGAACTGAAGGAAGCAGAACAGGTTTTTATTGAATTATTCAAAAAGGATCATTGTGTCCAGAACACCAAGAATGAACATGAAGTGCCAGGTAGACCCTGTTACCCCAAGAACAATGGGAAGTCATTGAAGGGTTTTAAACAAGTATGATTATTTACCTGTTTTAGAAATTCCATTCTGCTGATAGTACTCAAAACAGAGACCTCAATCAGATGTAGGGTAGGGAGACCACTTAAATGACTCTTGCTGTAATTTGCAAAAGGTCATGCTAGTTTCGATCATGAGGTTGACAGATTTGGAGAGACTGGATAGCTTTGGGAGATGGAAGGTAAAATTGTCAGAAATGTTTTAAATTACTAAAATTATTTGGTTACTTTGAATATGATCATATAAAATTTGAAAATAACTTAAGGTAAACATTATGTTACTATATATCTATGATTTGTAACATTTTTGTTGTTGTTCCATTTCTTTTTATTAGTTTAGTAAAATGACAATAGGTACATAAAATTTGTGCATGAGTACCCATTTGCAGGAATGTCTTAACTCTTCAAAAGTCAAAAATTGTAGGAAACTGGTCAGGGTTAGTATATATTACTTGTTAGCTAAGAGGTTATCTCCCTCTCTTCTTTCCTTTCTTCTTTCTTTTCCTTCTCCCTCTCTCCTTCTCTCCCTCTCCCTCTCTCTCTCTCAGAGATTGAACCCAGGTCCTCACCATGTACCAGGCAAATGCTGTAGGCACATGCTCTATTGCTGAGCTGCATCCTCAGCTCTTTGAATTCTTTTTTTGGTATGGGGGATCAAACTCAGGACTTTGGGCTTGTGAGGCAGGCATTGGCGCCACTGAGCTAAATCCCCAGCCCTTGGAATCTTTTTTTGGAGACAGGATCTTGCTAGGTAGCTCAGGCTGGCCTACAACTTGCTTTATAGCCAGTGCTAAGCTTGAACTCATGATCCTCCTGCATCAGCCTTCTGAGTGCTGGAATTACAGGTGTGAACTACTTATCTGGCAAAACTTCTTTTGTTTTGAGCTAAGTATCCCATGCTGGCTTCAAATTTGGGATCCTTCTGCCTCAGCCTCCCAAATGACTGGAATTACAAGTACTGAACACACAGCTATGCCTGGATTTCTCTTTCCTTTATAGCTATTCCTTCTGTTACTTGCTTAGTAGAGAGTAAAATCAAAGAATATTGATGTATTAAATATTCTCTTCTATGGTTATAGATAAATATGTAAACAATAAGATTTTGGAAATGTTTGATGAATAAGTAAATAAAATGTATGATACCATATACATACTCTATATTTTAAATAGTGTTATTAAACAGTTCTTTATTCTTTTAATTTTAGGAAACCAAGTATCTTTTGCCAACTTTGGAAAAAGAATTATTCTTGGCAGAGCACAGTGATCTTGAAGAAGGTGGACTGGACCTGACTGTGTCATTAAAACCAGTTAGTTTCTATATATCAGACAAAAAAGAAATGCTCCAGCAGTGCTTCTGTATCATAGGAGAGAAGAAGTTACAGAAGATGCTTCCTGATGTGTTAAAGGTACTTCATTACAGTATCAGACTGTACACATACATAGAAATAGTACTTTCATTTTAGCAGTCATTTTATTTAACACAGCTTGTAATTGAATGTTCTCATCTAAAACAAGCGACAAATACAAGAAAAAGAATTTGGAGAACTGTAAATGGCCTTGCATATTTTACAATTTCCAAGAAAAGTTAAGACAAGGAATTTATTGACTCAAAGGAAATAATTCTATTAAATTCAGGAAATGGTAGTAACTAAATTGGAAGTATAATGAATCTTTCTGGTACTTTAAGAAATAATATGCTTATGTGAGGCAATACACAGTGGTGGCTTGTAATAGCTTATATTTCATTACATTCGCAAGGGTTTTTATACATTTATTTCTGAAATAGGACTTAGACAAGTTAAGCCCAAGATCATATATCTAGAGCACATAGAGTCAGAACTTGAATACTGTTAGAAGAGTTAATGCAACGTAAATAGGCTACTATTACAATATATCTGGGAAATCATACACTGTAGTTTGTCTTTCAAAATAAACATGACTATGTATTTCTGTCATATCTTTAAAATGTTCATGTTAACTGGCAGTTTTTCAGATTTCATCACATGAGAAGATTTATATGACTGCTCAGATTTTGACTGGTTTTATTGTAACATTTTGCTAACCAGAATTTTTTTTATGATTGCAGTTTTCCAGTTTTCATTGGAGCTATAATACATAAATGTAATTTTTAAAAATGTCATTTCCTTTAGAACTGTTCAGTAGAAGAGATTAAAAAGCTATGCCAGGAACAGTTAGAGCTCCTGTCTGAAAAAAAAATATTGAAGATTCTTGAGGGTAAGAATACATATTTCTACATTCTGATTACTTTGGTAACTTATTAAACTATATTCAGCATTAATCCTGAAGTATTCTTTCTTCTATTAAATTACATTATTGGGTAATCATTGAGGAATATCTTTATTTGTTATACTGAGAAATGAAATTTACATTATTGGAATAGAATTTCAAGGATAGAGTCGATGTATAGTTTTTCTGAATCAAGTATATAGATCAGAGCCTAAGTTTGTATGCTGTAATAAAATGAAATGAAAAAAAAAGGTTTACCAAAAATGATGTAAAAACTGAAACTACAAAGATTTACCTTAAAATAATTTAATTTTTTTGCTATTTATTTATTATTTTTGTGGTACTACGGATTGAGCCCATGGCCTTCACACTGAACTCCATCCCCAGCCCTTTTGATTTTTTTGAGACAGGCTCTCCCTAAGTCACTGAAGCTCAGGTTGGGCTTAAACTTGTGATCCTCCTGCCTCAGCCTCCAAGATTGCTGGGATTAGAGATGTATACTGCCACTCCCAGCTCTGCTTCACATTCTGTATAGCTTTCTGTTACCTATGGCATATTATTTTTTCTCTAGTAAAACTCAGATGCAGAGCTGGAAGAATTGTTTATACTTTACCAACATTTATGTCCACCTTAAGTATGAGTATGCTTTGTGATATTGATACTTCTGGAATTTTGCATTTTCAGGTTTTTTTTTTTTCTTTTGAAACTTTGCAAAGATTTTACCATTTGTGTCACAGAAGAAGAAACAATTAATAGAGATTTTCAATTTCTCTAGAGACTTTTGGTTTTCATAGAGATCAACATTTTTTGTAGTATTAAGGGTTGAACCTTGGGCTTCTTATATTCCACTGAGCTACATCCCCAGCCATTTTAATTTTCAATTTTTAAAATTTTGAGATAGTTTTAATAAGTTGCCCAGGCTGACTTCAAAACTTGTGATCTCCTGCCTTAGTCTCCCGAGTAGCTTGAATTACAGGTGTGTGCCACCACACTTGGCTGAGGAGGACTTTTTGAAATGTGAAATAGTTTAATGGGTTTTGTAATTCTGGAAACAGAGGTATACATTAGAATCAGTCTGGGCCAGGGATTTAGCTCAGTGGTTCCGCCACCTGCCTTACAAGCGCAAGGACCCGAGTTCAATCCCTGGTACCAAAAAAACCAAAAACAAAAAAGGTAGAATCAGTCTCTCCCTCTCCCCTCCCTCCCTCCTCCCCCTCCCCACCTCTATATATCGTGTTGATGGGAAAAAGGGGAGGCAATAGAAAAAAGTCATTAAAAACTAATTTTAAATATAAGCAATTGAAAATGTAATCTTCTAATAGTTATAACGTTGTCTACTATGTGTTGCTTTTTTTGTGAAATGATTAAGTAGTAAGTTTGATATTTTTATAAACATGTTTTCAATAGTTTATTTCTTTTATAAGGTGACAATGGTATGGACTCTGAAATGGAAGAGGAGGCAGATGATGGGTCTAAGATGGGATCTGATTTAGTCAGTCAGTAAGTTAAAAGGCTTTCATTTTTATTTCAAAAATTTTTGTTCCTTTAGTGATTTCTTCCATTAAGTTCATGATATTTTTCTGTTTTTTCATATAAAATAATTCAACTGTTAATCTCTTTGCATGATAATAGTAACCTATTATTATGTTGAAATTTAGACAAAGATAAAAGCATAGTGATTAGTTTGGGAACTTAGTTTAAATTAGAAAGGAATTAGAAAAATAAACAGTTAAAAAAAATGAAACAACAAAGGGAAAGTTAAAAAACTAAAGAGATAGAAAACACATAAAAAATTAAAAATGATAAATAAGTGTATAGACTTGGACTTTGTAAAGAATATAGAGAAACTTTTTAGGTTTGATTAAGGAAATAAGTGATGAAAAATTATAATTGCAATTAGGATGGAAGAAGGGGATATGTTATAGGTGTTGTGACCTTAAAAGTATAGTGAGAATACACATGTAGCTGATACACAGACTTGAAAATAGCAAATAGTTTCCAGCAAAATACAAAGTAATCAAATTGATACTACTCACAACTATAAAACTTGAAGAGATTAATGTAGAAGAAATTGGAAAGTTGACTAATGATCTGTTGAAAAGAGCACCAAGAGAAGATAGATTTACATCTGAATTATTACTTAGAAGAGTCAATACATGTAGTATGTTTTTAGCTAATAAAATGTTCAGCAGATGGCATATTATACCTGTGTTCTTTAGTCAGGGGCTTCATGGCAAATATTTTGAAAGGTGCATTATGGCAGATGTATAATGCCCATGTTTATTTTTTAGAAATATTTCTACTGATGAATTATTAATTTTAATTTTATGAGTTATTAAATAAGTGTACTTAGGAAAATAAAATAAAATATTAATTTTTTAACATGTAATGAATGTTTAGAATAAATATCAACATTTTCAACAACTTTACCTATTTACAAAGATCTAAAAAATAGCATAAATTCCTGTGTGAACTACAATGAAATTACAAACAAAACTCTACACAGAAATAATCTTTGCTTCAATTGTCACACCTAAGGCAGTCTTCACATGTGAGAATAGCATGTTCCATACACAGGTCTCACTTACACTGACAGCACATGTGCTTAGCTTTCCTTTTCTGTTCGGCAGGCCATGCTTGTCACCTCTCTTGTCATTGTCTTTTGTCAGGAGCTTTCTATTATAGTATACAGTGTCCACTTAGCAGGAAAATAAAATATCAAATATATACTGTTTAGAATAAACATCAACATTTTGTACATCAACTGTTTGTTTGCTTTCTAAATCTAGAAAATAACAGCAGAAAAAAATTCCTATGTGAACTACAATAAAAATACAAATAAAACTCTACCATAAAAATAATATTTCTTTCAATAATCATATCTAAGGCAGTTTTCACACATGAGAACAGCATGTTCCATACACAAGTATCACTTCCACTGATAGCACCTGTGCTTTGTTTTTCTGTCTTCTTTGGTAGATGCACTTGGCACGATACTGGTCTTCCTGTCTTCTTTGGTAGACGCACTTGGCATGTTGCTGGTCTTCCTGTCTTTAGTAGACACACTGGGCATGATGCTGGTCTTCCTGTCTTCTTTGGTAGATGCACTGGGCATGTTGCTGGTCTTACTGTCTTTTTTGGTAGACACACTCGGCATCTTGCTGGTCTTCCTGTTTTCTTGGGAGGTTCTTGTGATGCTTCACCTGTCCACCAGTCTGCTCCAGAATTCTTTTGTGGAGTTCTTTGGGCAGATCATACTGTTCTTCCTCTGTTGTAATTAATCATTTATCATTTCAGACCCAATCCTCTAAGATAATTTCTCTGTAATATTTTGTGCTTGTTATTTTCTTTATAAACTATGACATGTTTAGGTTTGAGTAAAACACAACCATTGGCCAACACTTTGGGTTTGGAGTGACATCATAGTTGGTGCATAAAACATCAACAGCGTCTATTCCACCTTTTGTTTTGTTGTAAAATGTGAGCATTTCTGGCTTAATTTGTGTTGAAGATTCGCTATCAGTCTTTGTTTGAGACAGGGTCTCGCTGTGCAGTCCAGGGTAGCCTTCAACTCATGTAGCACAAGCTGATCTTGAACTCACAGGATTTTCCTGCCTCAGCCTCCCAAGTGCTAGGATTACAGGTGTGTGTCACCACGCCAGGCTCACTGTCAGTCTTAGCATCATGGTGTAACTGTTGACATTGTCAATACTCCTTTGCTTTTCTTTACCATATAGGAGGGAGGCCAATGTATGTCTTTCTGAAATCTAAAGATTATACTATACATTTCTCTGTTGTGAACTTGCAATAGTTTTTCAGGAATCTCCACTTTGTTCTTGGGAATAGTTCCCATGCTGATCAACAGTTTTCTTTTAGCAAATGTAGCATCAATGGGTAACTCCTGAACCAACTATCAAATATAACATTTGGGTTACTTTTTGAAATAGGTGCAACAAATCTGTTCACAAAGTCAAATGGTTTATTGCTGCAGGAATAAAGTCCTGGTGGCTGAGTTTAGGGTAAAGTTCTAAATTCAGGGTGTAAAATGTCTTCACATTTATCAGAGCATATATTTTTTGCCATATTTGGAAGGTTTACTCGGCATATTTTACCAAAAGTGTCAACAACCAGAAAATGATGCAAATTATTCATGAATTGTCTTGGTCTGTGTGTAAATTGGGTGACAGTTTGAAACAAAGCTTTGAAAAAATGAGCTAATAGTCAAACTGTCGGATTTTTTTCTTTGTTGATGGGCCTTTTTGTCATCAAATTGTAGGCAATTTTGAAGGAAACCCAATCTCTTGAGTGTCATTCTAAAAATCTCAATGCCACATCTATCACTTCTCCGTACATGCTTTAGATTCTGACAATTAGAAGGGTAAAGTCCAGCTGGGGATTTAGCTCAGTGGCACCATGTTTGCCTTACAAATGCAAGGTCCTGAGTTCGATCCCTGGTACCTGGGGAAAAAACCAGAATGGTAAAGTCCTGCTATGAAGGTTTTTAGTTGAGATAATGAGATATCATCATAAATGTATTTTTGAGTATTATATTGATGCCTATAGAATGTTTTTTTGAATTTCATTATTAGTGTCTTTCAAAATAACTTATAGCATATCATCTGTTACAAACAATTTCCAACATTGAATCGCTGTGTTGGCACTCTGTCCAAGGGGTTTCACTCTCGCAAAAAACCTAATAACTCGGGCCGGGGATTTAGCTCAGTGGTTTCGCCGCCTGCTGTGCAAGTGCAAGGACCCGAGTTTGATCCCTGGTACCAAAAAAAAACGTTAAATGAAAGAACCTAATAACTTTTTCTGATTTACTTCTAATGTTGGATTGTTCGGTATACAGGACCATTTTGTAACATTTTGAGTAGTAAAAGATTATTTACATTACTGTTTTCTTCCTCATTTGAATCAAAATCTTCAGTCTATACTTATCTGTCATATATTACTGACTTCTTTGGCTTAGATGATCCAAGTCATCATGGTAGCCAAGTCACCTGATGACTCAGTTTCAACTTCCTCCCAAAATTGTAAAAGTGGATTTTCATGCAATATTGTGCTGAGTTGGGCTAATATTACAAGAAATATCAAAAGAAAATGTTTAATAAATTGTAAATACACAAAATGTAACACGGCACATAATATGGGTAAAACTCACCTGTTTATACTTTGACACACTTGCATACATCTTGCTGTTAGTCATACCAAGTAGGTGAATGAAAAGATTGCTTCCTCTATTCCCTCAGCATAGCTACTGAGACACATAGTCAGGTATCATGCTGAAGTACATATTTTCATTAGAAAAGTATGGTATGGGCATCCTAGTATGAGGAACTGAGAGTTTTAAAATAGTCCAGTTGCTAGGAAAATATGGAAAGATCTTCAGTTTACTTTATGATTCCTACATGGTTTTAATACCAAAAGTCTTATCAGTAGTACCAAGGAACACTGTATGGGGGATTATTGGCCCTCTCACTTGTGAATATAGACATGTAGATGTAAAAATTATAAAATATTAGCATTTAGGATCCAGCAACATAACAAGTGAGTATTACTATTCTGTTGTCCACGAACGATTTACTCCAGGAATTTATAAGGACACTTAATTACAAAATCTGTTAGCATACTTCATATCAATAAATTAGAGAAAAATTACATATAAACAGATTCTAAAAAGTTTTTTGGTAATGTTCAGGCATCATTTTTGTTGTAGATAAAGTGTACAGCATATTTTGATACACACTGTGAAATGACAAGTACAGTCAAGCAAATTATTCATCACCTCGAGTAGAGTAGATGGTTTTATGCTGTAAGAGCACACAAATTTTAGATGCTCTTATCACACAAAGGCACCTTCTTACTCAAGGTATACAATACCATATTAATTGTCCTTGTGCTGTGTATTATTTCTTCACACTTACTAATCCGACACAATTGCAACTTTGTACCCTTTGGTTCACCCCACCATCATCATTTTACTGTTTCAATTTTTTTTCAAGGTTACACATATAATTGAGATCATACTTTACTTTTCTGTCTGTATCTGGCTTATTTTACATGATATAATGTCCTCCAGTTTCATCCAAGATGTTCTTGAAGGCTCTCACTTTTAAAAGCTGAATAATCCATGTTTATCTCTTCATTCATCAATGGACACATAGGTTGTCTTCATATCTTGGTTATTGGGAGAAAGGCTGTAATGAGTATGGAAGTGCAGATATCTCCATGAAGTGTGGATTTCATTTTCTTTGTGTATATACTCTGAAGTGGGATTGCTGGGTCATATGATAGTTTTATTTTTCACTTTTGATGCATCTAAAGCTTCACTAGTACCTACATAGTGAATTAAAATGTGAAATTAGATAGGAAGCCTGTTATGGCCATTAATTTTCAAGTTTTTGAGAGGTTCTAGTAGACTAAGCTGATAAACTGTAGAAAAGAAATAAAAGTGTTTTTCTAATTTATGAAGTTATAAACCTAGCATAACTAAGAGA